GGCTTTGGTTCATCGTGTGACTTTCTCATCACCTCCTGCATTTGGTGGTTATCAGTGCATTACAAAGGTACAAAACAGATTTCAGTACTTCAATAGGTTGGTATATTAACATTACATCAGTTAATGAAATTACGGTATTTAACTGTAAATTTAAGTTAAAACCGTAAAACCTAAAACATTGCTACTGTATTTTCTACGGTAAAATTCCGGCAACCACAGCTGCCATTTGTTTACCGTATTTTTTTTTTTACAGTATACTTATACTATATTGACTGGGTTAAATAGAATTGCATTTCTAAAAAGAGACTAAAATACAATTTTAAAAACTAGACTAAATGTCATCAGTTTTCGTCCACTAAAACTAGACTAAAATGCTCAGACTTTTAGTTGACTAAAACTTGACTAGACTAAAAAGAGTATGAACGTGACTAAAACTAATAAAAACTAAAATGACAGTTTCACACAAAGACTAGACTAAAACTCAAATTAAAACAGGCCGCCAAAAACAACACTAATTGAAAGCACTTTTAGTTTTAGCTGTGAAAGTTCTCACCTCCACACAGTTGCTGTTGAAGTCCCCATGAGCTGTATGGCACATGTATTGTTTAAACTGTTGCAGGCTGTCCAGCACTGCCTGTTTAAGAAGTGCACCTCGTTGCCGAACGCAGCCCTCTTGAGGCAGAGAACGCAGCTCGTCTATACAGGACAGCAGACGTGTCAAATTGCCCTTAACTTGCTAGTGAAGAGAATGAGATGAAGGAATGAAAAGGTTAAAGGAAGACATCAGAAGAGATACATAGTTTTACTTGTCTATTAAAAACCAACCTACTGTATAGCACCTAGTCAAACATCAGTGTAAATACACACATACTTATCCTCACCACAAAGGGTAAGAGACACTCCAGCTGTACACTGATGGCAAAGACGCTTAGCAGTGGCAAACGAGCAGGTCCTGCCAGGCTGCTGGCCAGAAAAAAGAAATTCTCTAGGGCCTGACACAGAATAGTACATGTCTCTGACCACCAGGGAGGCGAAGCATCTACTATCAACACACGAGAAGGCTGTCTGGTAAAGGATGATGAACTGCATGCTTGGAGAATGGAGGAAGAGCAGGATCTGTTTCTGGCACTCATGGTTCACCTACACACAGAGAGGAACATGAACATGGATGTAATTTAACTAGCTAACTAAAATCAAATCTATAAATATTACAGTAAAGGTACAAAAGGCATTTAATATTCATTCACTGATTGCCTAATTTACTGTTTTTCCAGCTCAATTGTCAGTGATGAGCAGTCTGTGTGGGTGTTTTTTTTTTTTTTTGGTGATGAAATATCAGTCATTCACCACACACATAGGTTAGAGAGCTGAGTGACTCTGTCAAAACCAATACCCCTTCCTTCCATTACTAACAACTGCGATCAAAATCAAATGGAGGAAGTTTGGAAACCCTTACTTTATTTCTCTTTGTGGGAAAAATTAATAACTAATATCTGTAATACAAAGTGTCATTTTATACTATAACACAAAGTGAATATTTCAACAGAACACAGTGTCTTGTAATGTCACCACAATAACATAAGAAGGAACATTAGGCTTAATCATGGTCAACATGGCCAAAAAATGTTCTTCTGGGAAAAGAAGAAAGACTGTGAAAAAATAGACTCCCTATAAGTTCTTTTTCCAAAGCTGTAAAACACAAGAGTGATATTGTTGGTCATACCAGGGCAGATGGGGCAAATTGGTTAAATAAGGCAGCAGCTCTCTGCAATCTAAGGACTCATCAATGCTATCCCACTTGACAAGAGAGCTCTTTGAGCGCACTAATGCTGCGCCTCGGGCCTTTCCCGCCGCTTAAGCACGACACAGGCGACAAAAGACACTTTGTCTGCTCTAAAAACAGCTCCACAGACTCGCTGCCCCGAGATGAGCAGAAGATAGTACTGATGAGAAAATTGAGGAAGGATGACGAAAGAGGAGAGCAGGTGTTTCTTTAGTATTCATGTTAGATAGTTTGCTAGAAGTAGGCTAATGGTATGATACGGGTACTCTCGCGCTCTCTCTGTCGGTAACGTTAGGTGTATTTAATAGCGGGCCGCGGCTTCATTTGTTTATAGTGTGGAGGTAACAAATAGCTTTAAAGTTCAATATAAGTTTATTTATTCATTACTTAAGGGGTGTATTGTAGAAATATTTTCCTGTTTTCACCTGAAGTTGAAATCTCGAGCCAGCTGGGGTACCTTGAGTTTCAAAAACGTAGTTATTGGATGCTACAAAATATAGGCCGAGTTACAAAAATATGTATTATTTCTGACACTTGGAGTGGTTAAATTAACTACAAATTCTTTATATTTACCTTAAACTTGTTACAGACCGCAGAATAACCCAGTAAAGAACTACACAGCACAATCCGTTTCCACCGTTGACTCCCCTCGCGCTCGCTCAGAATGAAACTCATTCGTGAACAAATGGCTCTTTTGAGTCGGATCTTGTCAATGAATCAGTTAAATTGAATTGTACATTTTAAACCGGTTGATTGAAAGTCGATTTTCCCATGGAGATGTAAATAATTTTAAAATATGAAAGAAAAAAGTATATAATAATAATATAATTATAATTACAATATGTTATTCCCTTTCTCTTCAAATTTACTGAGGTCACTTTACAAAATAATAATAATAATAATATATATATATTTTTTTCATTTTCTCTTTAAATTTACTGAGGTCACTTTACGATTCTGATCACTATACTCCCCAGATGCTGTTTCACAACTTCCAAGTATAAGGGGCTAAGTCAAATTATGAAATCTATTCTGTGCTGTTCAGTTTCCTGCATGAATAAAAGCAGTGATTTGCACAGGGATGGTTGCAGACTCACTTACTGAAGCCTTAAGAGGCTTTAGCTGAAGGCTGTGTTGGGAAATCAGTACTGACACATGAAGACACATCACCTCTTCGTTGTAGGCAGGAATCAGCGTGAAGCTCCCACGTCTGTTCATTGGAGATAAGGGAAAGCAGGCAGAGGCTTCAATCCCAGTATGACGTTGTTGCAGAAATTGGCAAAACGGAAATCCAAGCTTTGGAATGCTTGGGGACTTTTCATCTCAAAACAGTGTAGTCTACAAGTTAAGTTAAGTTAAATGGGAACACAAGATGTTTAAACATGGAGTTTGTTGAGATGTTTTGCACTGTGGGACTTACTTTGCCACTGTAACATGTTAACAATTACCAGCAACAATTTAACATCTCACTAAGCATTCCAGAAGCCTTTAAGTCTTTAATTCCCACCAGATCCAAACTCAGATTCCCATGGCTTTAACCAATGCTATTTTATATATATATATATATATGCACATATCTAACTTTTTCAGATGCACACCCCCTACAATGTTTCTGGAGAACTCAAACAATTACTCACTTCCATCTGACAATTGCAAAGTTTAAACCTGTTTTTAATGCATCAAAATAAAAGCTTCACCCATATTATTTTCATTATATTTTCAATGTTAATTTCTGATGCAACCGTTATTATTACAGATATTACTTTTAATATCATGGGCAGAAGTGAATTTTTCACTACAAATATTTTCAAATTGGACCAAGATATAAAGAAGAACGTTTCCTGGTAAAAATGAAACAGTGAATGCAATAAAAAACTATTATGGTTTTTAAGTAAAAGTTGAAAGCAAGTAGATACTATTTAAATGTTGCATAGGTTTGTTCAGCTTACTTCATTTTTTTCTTTCCTTCATTTTCCTGCCTCCTTAGTAAGTGCAAGTAAAATGTCAATGTCTCACTTTAAAGAAATTTTTCAACAATAAGATACTTAAATTGATTAATTGAAACTTTGTGTTGAACTGTTTCTTTCAGGTTATAAACTTTACTCCCATAAAACAAGAAAGAAAAAAATAAGAGGGGCGAATTTTTTTGCATAACCTATATTTTCATTCTTCATTTTCACATTCTCAATGTTTGCTTAGCTCTTGCTCAGTATAAGCTTCTTAATCTGAAATCTGTTCAGTCATGAACCAAATCACTAGATTTACATAAATAAATTATTACATAAAGAAATGTTTGTTGTTTCTTATGTTGATGGATAGAGAATCCCCATCCATTCAATTGTCCCTTTAGCTTTCTGAAGGTATATATGAAATGGACCTTTATTTTTTGCACATTAAAGGAGGTCATGTGCAAGCCAGGCAACTGCAACTGGTATTAATAATGGGTAGATTAATTACATATTATAATGAAGTATTATAGACCTTCTTGAATCGGAAAAAAAGGAGCAATGCGGATGAAATAACCTCCATTTTACTATATGTTTGTTGAATTGCATAGTGTTTAGTCCATCTAGTGAAAAGTCAAAATTGTGAGAAAAAAACTTGAAATTGAAATTAAATTATTTTTTTATATAAATTTTATTTTTATTATATTGTATTTTATTAAATTTATGCTTCTTACCAGAAATATGAGAGCAAATTTGGCCTATTGGTGGCGCTAGAGAGTTTGAGATAGAGACTCCAAATTTGCTATGGTTAATATTGAGACTGTCCTCTATCTGTGTGCCAAATTTCATAATTTTCCCTGAAGCGATGGGCTGCCATAGACTTCCAGAGTGGAAGCAAAAGAAGACAAAGAAGCGGAAGAGTAGTAATAAGAAAACGTACTCGGTTACTAATGTAACCTTGGTTCCCTGAGATATGGGAACGAGTACTGCGTCTTGCTAAAAGACGCTATGGGAAAAATATTTTTTTTCTCCTGAACTGAAGCCTTTTTTCAATCACAATGTGAAACTGCACGGCACATGCAGTGCATTAAAAAATGAACCAATGGGTCGGCAGCAGTGCTGCACAAGCCTATGGCGACAAAGCCCGCCAGAGCTCGCCAGAATGGGCGGAGCCATCTGGCTATATAAGCGGGCATTTATCCAGCAGCTCTTGTAGGAATGATAAGACTACTGACAGGTCAGAGGTTAATGGGTCTTCGCCGCGGATTAAGCACCAAGCGGCAAGATGGAAATTCCGAGCGGGAGGTGGCAATTGCTGGAGGGTTTACCAATCAGACACACAATTTTTCATTAGATTAACAAACATTCACAGATCCCTCACCCAATAAACATACTGGGTGCCAAGATGTCTGTGATTGAGGCCCAGGCCCCTGGTTACCATGGCAACCAGGACACCTTTGCTAGACCAGATAAACTTTACGACCTAATGGCATGTTGAGAGTTCTCCCTCTCACTACATTTTCCATAGGAAAGAAACATAATGCACAGCAAAATTGACTCTTCTCTAATTAATTCATAGGAAAACCTTTCTATGAATGAACACACATATCCTCAGGTCATTGTGTATACCATTACTGTTCTTATATATTGCATTTTGTATTGTATACTGTTTTATGCATGTTATGATAGATCACTAGTTAATATAACCTCACCTATATCATGTTTGGTCTCCATAAATTCGTCTTCGGATGATCTAATTGAGAGTGCATATTACATGTTGATATCTATGCAACATATTAATGTTCTAAGAATCTTTACGAGTTTGTGCATCAACACCCAATCGAATGCAATACATATGCAAAATGCCATGCTTGGAGACAAAGAGTTGTAAACTTTCCCTCCAAAAGTTCAAAACACCATTGGCTCTTTGATCCCCCGGAGGTGTGAGCTCAATAGGAGATAAAGCTCTCACATCAGTGACCCGCCTCAGTCACTCTGGGGGTTCTATTAGATTCAGGAATTCCAGGAGAAGATGCTGAGCTAAGAGTCTTAAAAACCACCCTAAGCTTGTGCCAGGCTCCTGCCTAGTCTTTCCATTCATCAAGATCCTCTGACTCAAACTGGTTCTTTCTCATCAACTAACTTCAGCAGAGACCAACTGGAGCCCCAAAGTGCATCAGGACTCTTTTTCAAACAGGCGAGACATGCAAGTATCAAACTTAGTTTTATTAATTGATACATTTAGTATCATTTGCACCCTTTACAAAGGTGTGTTTGAACTAAGAAACGGATGTTTCCTTCAGGCTGTAGATCTGCTGAATATCAAATTGTACCATGGCTTCAAATCTTTATTTCTCTTCTCTTTACTGCTGAAGCTTTAACCCCATTTTCCTATGCCAACTGTATGCGTGTGTGTGTGTGTATGTATGTTAGACTAGTTTAAGTGTTTATGTAGTTAAAGTCTTACTTGTATCACACTTGAGGTTGTTCATTGTTTGCTCATAACTGGAGTCCCTAATCATGCAAATTTTTGCTACATGCTCTGAGTAGTATTGTACAGTAAGAAAGTTATTTTCCTTAACCAGGAAATTAACATTCTTAGAATTGACAGACAGTTGACACTGAGGTGTCAAGTAAATACTTACAGTGGATCTAAATATTTATAATTACTAGTTATAATTAATTATTCATATTTCCCCTTTGAGCTGATTCACTACATGCGTAAAGGAGGAGGTTGGGCCAATCCCTGACTGACCTTCGAATAATAAATTGGGCAATGAGAGTTGTTTTCTGAGGCAAAGAGGTCTACCTCGGCCTTGCCGAAGATCTCCCAGATTGTCTGAAATGTCTGCAGCTGGAGCATCCACTCCTCTGAGGGAACATTGCTCCATGATAACATGTCCGCTCCCTGGTTCAATATGCCTGGTATATGCGCTGCCTTTAGCGAGCGCAGGTTGAGTTGAGCCCATTCCAGAAGGCGCTCTACCAGAATGAAGAGGCACTTTGAGGAGAGGCCTCCCTGATGATTTATGTAAGATACCACAGACATGTTGTCCGAGTGGATTAGCACATGGTGTCCTTTCAGGACTGGTAGGAAGAACTGACAGGCTCAATACACTGCTAGCATTTCCAAGCAGTTGATGTGAAGAATTTTTTTCCACTTTTGACCAATGGCCGAAAGTCGGTTTGCCCTCATACAGCACCCCCCAACCTCTGTTGGAGGCATCTGTCGTGACAACTTTCCTCCTGTAAGCCATTCCTATGGCCACACCCTGTTCCATCCAGCGGGAGTCTTTCCTAGAGGCCAGGACTGATACGCAGGCCTGGCTCACCCTGATATGTAGGCGTCCGTGATGCCACGCATGTGATGGAACCCGCGGCTTCAGCCAGCGCTGAAGGGGTCGCATACGAAGCAGGTCCAGCTGTAGTGCTGGTGACGCTGCGGCCATGAGGCCCAGCATCCTCTGAAATGTCTTGAGAGGGCGAGCGGCACCGCTTTTGAAGGAGGCCACGAGTTTCCACATGGCTAGAGCACGTCCCGGCGTGACTACAGCGGTACGGTAGGAACGGTATTCGTTGGCTGGGGAGCAGCATGCTCTAGGTGAAGTTGACCCTGAGTCCCAGGTGCTCTAAGTGGCTGAGGAGGAGG